TTTTGATATAGTCTTTTATCATATAATGGGTAGGTTTCTCGGCAGGATAAAGCCAACGGATAAAAACGATATCCGTTGGGGTCATATGCGGATAAAGATGCAAATATCAAAGGTCACGTAGGGACTACTTTCACTGTTTATAAACAAACACGGCGTCGCACTCGTCATTCGGCGATCGAGTCAGAATTAACCATCGGGAATCTGGATAAACTACAGGGATAATTGCTATCATTATCAAAAGAACAGTCTAATATACTGAAAATCTGTGTCTAACTGTGACGTAGCTAAGGCATTTTATAAGTTTTGGCAACTTTGGAGATATACATTTCGAAGCAATTTGGCGAGGGCACGAGACCTAGCCAAGCGGGATCAGTAGCCATATCTGTGCTTGTAGACCTCTGCGGCTTGAAACCTCCTCCACAAATTAAAATAGTTGGATTGGCGGAAATATGTTTGTATTGTTACCTTGTTTCGTTTTGTCGCTGTGTGTACATCTGACAACACTTCTTATCGTTATGACAGGACAGACTGACTGTCAACAACATCTGACAGTGGTCGTGACGTCTCATAGACTAGGGTTAGAGTAGTTTCCCTTTGACAAAGGGCAGTTACTCTAGCGGACAGACCGATGGATTGCCGCGAAAGACAATTAAAAACAATTGTTGTTTTGCGTATATGTTGCTAGGCCACTGTATAAGAAACATATTTCAGTTGGAACTATATTGGCTACTGTCACTGTCCGACTGACACATCACTTACCCTGTGACGTAATAAATATTAATGCGCGCATTCCAGGATACTCGCAATGTTTCGGTAATGTTTGTGAGTGAGGGAAAGCGATTTTGAAGCACAGAATTAAAGAATGACATTATATGATAAAGAGGTTATCACGCTTGTGTGTTTGGGGATGGTAAATATCCTGTATTAGGAATAAACACTATGTATTTAGCTCGCCAAGGCTCGCTAAATACAATGTTTATTCCTAATGCAGGATATTAATATACACTTTGAAAATTTAAGCAGCGCTTACCATATGTTTACATTTAATATAGCATTTTAAAATCATATTATGTGTTTTTTTCTGACGAAACATATTTGTTTTTGTTCTCACTGAAATAGAGAAATCGATATATCCAAGACATATCTTGAGAAACAACAGGTTGTTCAAACCTTGCAACAAATGTCCAAATGAGACCAATAACATCTGTTCGGTAGATACTTTCAAACGTTGTCAGAACATTGACGTTAGGTGTACACGAAAACAAACAAGGGTCCTCAAATTATAGTTTGATTCGCACCCTTGGGGACCTGTCTTCAGTAAAACCGATCATTCATCACAAAAGGAAACGCAAATACCATACATGTTGGTTAATTTATGAGGAATTGGCTCACATTCAAGAGATACTAAATTGGCTCTATGCAAAACTAACAGACGGGTATGTTGTGTGAACAGATGCCCATGAACGTATCAGATGTGACGTCACACTTGACTGATAGTTTTGTCAATATTTGGACCAGGGTGTATGTATGATTGTGTGTGTGTGTGTGTGTGTGTGTGTGTGTGTGTGTGTGTGTGTGTGTGTGTGTGTGTGTGTGTATGTTAGAGGTACAAATGTAGAAGAAGAATTGTACACCATAAAAATGGCTACGTATGTAGTTGGGGTAGATATGTTGAATGCCCGGCCAGTATGACCTTTGAGTCACTACAGTTGCAGTCATTAAAATGCGTAAAACAGTATTTGAGTGAAAGAAAACACTATAAGTGAGTGAAACAAAAGACCTCAGTACAGGCACACCCAGTCCCCCAACCCCAAGTCTGCATGTATCAATACTCACCATTATGTCTACGTCAGCCATCATGGATCCATGCGAATGCTTTCATACATAATCCATCCTCCCACCTCAACATCCATCTACGAGCAGGACGTCCTGTTTCACGCGTCATATTGAGTCGACAACATCGTCAACAACGACTGCATTGGTGTCGTCAACACTGGGTTTGGCCTCAACGGCGATGGAGAGATGTCTGGTTCAGCAACGAATCAAGATTTCTCCTCCGTCGAGGCGATGGAAGAGCACGGTTCTACAGACGTCGGGGAGAACGTTACGCCGGAAACTGGGTACAGGAAGTGGACAGGTTTGGTCGGGGTAGCGTTATGATGTGGGCGGCTATCTCTCATCATGGCAGGACAGGTTCGGTCAATATCCAGGGCAATCTTACGGCTCAACGATACATCAACGATATTCTCCAGCAGGACAACGCTCGACCGCAAACAGCACGGATCACAAGAGCCTGTCCACACAACAACAACTTTGATGCTATCCCCAGATCCCCGGATTTGAACCCGATAGAGCACCTGTGGGATGAACTGGATAGACGGCTACGCCGACGTCAACCACAACCCCAAACATTGCAGCAGATGGCTTTTGCGTTGCAGGCCGAGTGGGCTACCATTCCCCAGGATGTGATTCGCATTCTCGTCTCTTCCATGGGCAAGAGATGTCAGGCCGCTATCGATCCCAACGGGAGACATACGCGTTATTGGTGGTAGTTTACCTTCTCCTTGGACTTTTCCTATGTACCGATAACTGAGATAACTACAATCACCAAGTGTCCTCTCCACAACATTTTGGCTCAATACCTTGTACGGTTCCTCGTTTAATGTATTTACTATCTCACACAAATCTGGCGTTGCGTTCCTTTTTTAAGTGTATATATAATGTATGTATATGGCGATTGAGTGAGAGAGTTGGTTCACCTTGTAACTATATAATGCAGGTCACAGACGTTTACCACCTAGGTGAAACCCATAAGCACGGGTATAGTGCCGACGCGCCAAAAAATTAGGGTAACGGTAAATCTGACCCACGATCATCTATTTGTTTTAGGTTTTCTGGCACGCCCGAGGGTCGCAATTATGCACAACGAATTGTGGCGCTGAATCGACTGGGCCATCAGTGCCCCCAGTTATATTGATGAGTCTGATGGAGGTGTAACCATGTCTACTATATTTTCAGACTTCCTGCGTGACAGGCTCGGGCTACAGACCCTACAGTTACAGAACAGAAATGAAAACTTGTGTTTCTAGATTATATGTCTGCTTCATATGGAGGCGATAGATATAGTTGCCTTGAGTGGTTTTTGTGAATGCTGGCTTTACCGCAGTTGTATCAAGCTGTCTTGAACAATGATTGTCTTCACAAGGTACTCTTGTCGTTGTCATATACTGTTTGTTTGTTTGTTTGTTTGTGTTTAACGCCGCACTCAGCAATATTCTAGCTATATGACTGCGGTCTGTAAAAATCGGGTCTGGACAAGACAATCCAGTGCTTGACATCATGAGCATCGATCCACGCAATTTGGATAGTGTGTGTGATGTTTATGCAGTAATTGTTGATGCGAATGATGTTGTTGCAGCCACGTTCACCTTCACGTTCACGTTCATACTCATGGTCTCGTTCACTCCTCAGAAACTTGTCTGTCATTTTCATTATTTTTTTGCGATCCGTATAGTCGCGTGCAGGCTATAGCTATAAACTTGACAGTTCGCTTATCAATTACCCAACTTATCGGTATAACGGCGCATCGTGACCCAACATTCTGTAGACAGTCCCACATGAATCGCCCATTTGTCCTACCCGTTGAAAAGACTGATGGTTAATCCAATGCCTTCTATCTCAAGGCGTATACTTTGTTCCAGTAATTACTTCAGTATGTGTTCGGATCAATGTAACAGATGTTGTAAACCTTATGTGTAGCCCTTAGTCGCCAAGTGATTACAGTCCACGGGGTTGTGAGAATATCAGTTTATTCAGCAAAGGCATAAAGAAGACACTCCTGAAACAACTTAAAATCACAATATATCACGTGTTTCAGAATAAATGTACAATAACACATTAAATGTAAAGTATCGATCTGCTTCTTAAGAACTGATTACATCATGACAGCAGATACACAAATATATTTCTGCCTCGATATCTATTCAGTGCAAATATACTTTCATATACAAAGACATTACACGTTATCTAACGCATAACTGAGGAAATCATTAAATCATATTGTGCATAATGAATGCACGACATGAGCATATTATATAGATAAACTATATACAAAACATACCCTGTGTGTGACACGAGAGTGTAAGATGCCTTCCGCCAGTCGTCTCATTCGACAGTCACATGGCCCTAAATACAGATACAATAATTATTAATTATAATATTGTAAATAACATAAATAATCACGGCAGATACATGCATCCCTGAATTCAACTTCAGTCATTCATACAACTATCAATAAATACATGCATACATCTAGAAAGATATGTACAAAGTCTAGAAATACACCAGATTTACTAAATAATAGAAAATATGCATCAAATACCAAAATACACAAAATACCAAATAACCAATGCATTGAAATATAAAATATATGTATAGATAAGCAATAGTCATGAATCAGACCCTAATCTGATCACACTCACCTCATTCACTCAACCTATCGTTTGTTTATGTTTACAAGTTATTTAAAACCTATTTTATTATTTATGTACTTGTGTTGCGTGGTTCATGGGTACGTTTAATAACAGTTGAAACAAGTCGGGTCTGGTACACAAAGTCAATTCACAAGGCTCAAAAATCTGGTTCTCTCGGATCAGGATCAACACATGTGCTCCACATGGTGGCTGACACCTTGGATCTAACAAAAGTGGAATTTCAGAAGAATTGGATATAGACTGGGTTAATACTAAAACAATGAACAGTATTAATTAATTGAAGCCCAGGTAAAATATCTCCAAACACATAAACAGCTATCACTGTATAACAGCCGCCCCAAATTTGGGAACTAAATTTTAAACTAAATAAAGATCATGTCAATGTTTCACAATAAATCAAAGTTCATGAATTCTTCAACCTGAAAGAAACACATTTGAAACAAAACATGGAATCAATGGCTATCAAAATGTCATTAATTGTCAACTGGTTCAGGCACATTGTCTTATTCAGTCATATTTTGGCAATTTGATCAATTTTGACACTGGTCGGAGAATCTCATTGTCACTGGTCTTCACTTTTGCTGATCGTACTCTACCGTCGGACCCTGCATAGGTCTCTATTACTTGTCCAATCTTCCACTCACTGCGAGTGTGAAGAGGGTTAATGATTAGCACAACATCGTCAGTTTGTAAATTGCGCCGTTCGTCCGTCCATTTCACACGTGGCTGGAGATTTGGCAAGTACTCCTTGATGAATTTCCTCCAGAAGTGATCAGCTAGTACTTGACTTTGACGAAATCGTTTCTTTGTTAATCTGTCTTCATTCAGGTAGACAACCTGAGGAAGTGCTGGGTCTGATCTCCCAATCAGCAAGGTGTATGGAGTTACAGGATCGGTATCGGAGATGTCAGATGAGGTGTAACCCAGAGGTTTGGAGTTCAGAATAGATTCTACCTCTGTCATGACAGTTCTCAGGACAGATTCACTGACGGATTCAGTTCCAAGTATACTGCGTAGGCCATACTTGATTGATCTAATTTCACGTTCCCACAATCCACCAAAGTGAGGGGCAAATGGCGGATTGAATTGGAATCGGATATGGTTCTTGGCGAGTTTTTCTTTCAGTTCAGAGTTCATAGCTTCAAAAGCTTTGCACAATTCATTTTCACCACCTTTGAAGTTTGTGCCACAGTCTGACAACAGTTCAAAGGGACAACCCCTCCTGGAGATGAATCTGCGAAGGGCCATTAGGAATGCGTCTGTGTCCAGACTGTCAAGTATATCAGTGTGGACGGCTCGGGTTGTCATGCATTTAAAGATGATTCCATACCTTTTCTCTCTGCGTCTGCCAATCTTTATATACATAGGCCCAAAGCAATCTATTCCTGTCGAATAGAAGGGTGGTTTGAACAGTCTTAGCCGAGCCTCTGGTAGGTCGGCCATCAAAGGAATCTCTGGATTTGCTCTCCATTTCTGACAATCATGGCATTGTCTCTGATGTTTTTTAACAGCTTCACGTCCTCGAAGAATCCAGAATTTTCTTCTGATTTCACCGTGTAGTCTTTCAGCACCATAGTGGTGGAGGTCAGAGTCATATTTCTTTATGAGGAGCTTTGTAACATTATGATTTGGATCTAGAACAATGGGATGTTTTACATCGATTGACAGTTCATCACATCTTCTCAGTCTACCACCAACACGTATGACGTGATGGTCTTTATCATACTCTGGACTGAGTTGCGAGAGCCTGCTGTTAGATGCTATTCTCAGACCTTTGGATAATGCTTTCATTTCATCTGGAAAGCATTCTTCCTGAGCTTGGCGATACAATTGTAGTTCAGCTTTCTCAACATCAGTAACATTGATGGAGGCCGCCCCATCGGGATCCTCGATAGTATTGATTGTTGCATCAAGGAGTTTTTCCCATGATCGATGTAGAGATGTATCAGCTTTGGGTTGAACTGTGATGTGACTGCAGAAGGCTTTCTTTAGTTCAACACTAAAGGGATCAGTTTCAGGTTTTGGTTTTGCATCACTGAGAGGCCATTCAGTATCTGAAAGGTTTAGAAATGCTGGGCCATTTCTCCATCTTGTCTCTGCACACAAGTCCTGCAGTGTCTTTCCTCTGGTGATATCATCAGCCGGGTTTTCCTCTGACGGGATATATCTCCAGTCATGATATTCAGTAAGTGTTTGAATTTCTGCTACTCGAGTTCCCACAAACACTTTGTAGCGACATGATTGGGATGTCAACCATGCTAGGACAGTTGTTGAGTCACTCCACATGATCACTTTGTGAATGTCAATGGTCATTTCACTGGTGAGTGTGCTGGCAAGCTGGGCTCCTGTTAGAGCAGCTAACAGTTCAAGGCGGGGCATTGAGAGGGCTTTCTTAGGAGCTACTCTGCTTCTTGCTGCAACAAAGGAGACATGAGATGATCCATCATTGGTCTCTGACTTGAGGTATGCGACAGAACCATATACTTTTTCTGATGCATCACAGAAAATATGTAACTGTCTCTGATTGGCTGGTTCAGGTGGATCAATGCATCTTGGAAGTGAAACTTGGTTCATAAGTTTCAGTTCAGATTCCCACAGATGCCATTCTGTGAGAAGTTCACATTCTGGAAGTGGTTCTCCCCACTGAGGTTTGTGTTGCCACAGTTGCTGAACGATGACTTTGGCTCTTGCTAGATAAGGTGTGAGGAATCCAAGAGGATCGTACTGACTTGCTAGTATCCTATATACTACATTCAGTGTCAGAGTAGAATATGCAATGGGTCTGTACTTGTAAGTGATGCGATCCTTTTCACATTGCCATTGAAGGCCAAGAGTTCCTTCGTGTGGTTCAGTGTTGCCTTGCATGAGCCACAATTCACAAGTTTCAGATCTGGCTTCACTGGGCAAGTCCTTAACAACGTCAGGATCATTGCTTATCCACTGTCGGATATTGAATCCACCAGACTTCATAACATGACGTAGTCTACTGATGAATTCCCTGGCCTTATCAACTGTAGGGAATCCAGACAAGCAGTTGTCAACATAGAAGGAATCTTGAACTGCTTGTTGCACATCAGGATATTCTTCTTTGTTTTCTGTGCCCAGTCTCTGAATTGCATATGTGGCACAACATGGTGAACAAGTTGTACCGAATGGTAATACTTGCCATTCATATATTGAGACATCCCTCTCTGTATCCATTTCCCTCCAAATGAAACGAAGCAGGTTTCTGTCTTCAGGCAACAGTCGGATCTGATGAAACATAGCTTTGATGTCTCCTGACACAGCTATGACATGTTGGCGAAATCTCAAAAACACCCCGAGTAAGGAGGCACCTAGTGTCGGTCCTGGAAGTAACTGCTTATTCAGTGAAAGTTTCTGATATTCGTATGAGCAATTGAACACCAGTCTGTGTTTACCATGTTGTGCGATAACGTGATGTGGGATAAACCAGGACTCTGGTGTTGAAGATGCTTCTTCTTCACTTATCACTTTGACATATCCCTTGACAACAAGTTCTTGGATTTTCTCATTGTGTATGGATGCTATGTCAGGATGCTTGCTGAGTCTTCTCTCAGTTCTTCTCATGTTCTCTAACACAGACTCTTTACCTGTTTTGAGTACAGTCTTGTCAGGTATTCTGAGAAGAGGAGTGGCGAAGTGGATTTCACTATCTACTGTCACTTTGACGGTTTTGTCCTCAAGGGTTTTGAAGGCAAAATGGTCTAGCTTGGATCGAGTCACCTGTTTTGTGGTGTATGGCAAGATGTCGATCTTCCATAGCCTCTCAACATCATCAGTGATCTGGAGTTGAGGTTCGTGTAAAGTTCGAGTCAGGAAGCAGTGTTGCTTTCTGTTAGGTTCAAAGGCACATGGTCCTTGCAGTGACCACCCTAGTCTTGTGTAGATGGCCACTGGAGTTCCTTGAGGTCCAGCTCTGACTGGTTGCAAGGGCAATATCAAGTCAGCATTATCTGATCCTATCAAGATTAGAGGCTTGGCATCACTGATGGCTGGTAGAGGCAGGTTCTTTAGGTGAGGATACATTTCCTGAATGTCTTTGACAGGATATGTATAGTTGGACAGGTTCATTTGTTCAGAGGTGAACACATTTTTGATTTCATGCTTTGTATCTGGATCAAAGGGGGATGAAATAGAGAGGTTCACTCTATGACCATCACAAGGAAAAGGTTCAGATTGGATCGTTGTCAACAATATGGAGTCAGGTTTTATTGACAGTTCAAGGTCATTCACCGCAGATGACAAGATCATGCTTCGCATTGACCCATCATCCAGCAAGGCAAAAGTTTCAATGTCACATTTGCCATGTAATGTTACAGGAACAATTTTCAACATCACATTGTTGGGATTGTCTAGATAGAATGAAGTTGTCTTCTTCACAGTAATATTGTTCAGTTCATTGATAGCATGAAGTATGGTTAGATGTCGACCTTTGCACTCTCGGCATGGTTTCTTAAGGTTGCAGTCTTGCTCTTTATGATTTCTGCCACAACGGATGCACCTGTTTTTGTCCTTTATCCATTGAAGTACATCCCTTGTTTCCAGCTTGTGGAAACTTTCACATGCATTCACGTGATGGTCCTTGCTGTTACAATAGGCACAGTAAGATTGGTAAGACGTACTCGGAGTTTTGGACCCGGTAGGTGTGTTGAGCATAGCTGTAGCTTGTTTTGTTTTTGAATCTGACTTAGTGGTGTTTGTCTTGTCGGCAACTGCATGAGCTGCAATCCTTCTTGCCCTTGACTTGACATTCAACCACTGTGAAAAGGATACAAGATCATAGTTTTTGGTATTACTGATCACCCCTTTATTCAAACAGTACTCGACAAAGTTGTCACGTAAGGAGCCTGGCAACTTCTTAAGAAGTGTGTCAACATGTGAGGCAGTTTTCAGCTCATAGCAGTCATTACCATCTACAGATGTCAACAATCCGACAAGGGACTGAATTGATAAGGCGAAGTTGTCAAAAGCTTCGTAATCACCAGGTTTGATAGTGGGGAGAGTCAATATGCGATTGATCTCGCCTCTAGCTAGGTTATGATCTTGCCCATAATTCTCCTTCAATGCTTCAACAGCCTTGGTGTAAGGTGTGGGATGACGGAGAAAACTTGTAGCGAGGGTGAGTGTTTTACCTCCTAAACGGTCTAGGAGCACTCCATATTTATACCTTTCACTGAGCTGTGGGTGAATATCAAGGAGACTTTCAAGTGCCATCTGCAAAACAGCAAAGTCTTTCTCTTTACCACTGATAAACATGGGTAATCTTGGTTTTGGCACCCCATATGCTGATAGAAGAAGTTCATAATTTGGTGCATTAGCAATTGGCTGTTGTTGTTGGGGATAGTAACTACAGGCTTGTGGCATGACATTTGGTTGAGGTATTATTTGTGGAATGCTTGGCATTGGATTAATACCACTGGTGTATGTTGGATATGTATGAAATGTAGACATCCCTGTCTGATATGGAGGCACAACTGGGTCATATTGTGAAAACACTGGCTTGTAGGGTGAGACATTTGGAAAGTCTAGACTAGACATGTGACCAGGATATGTGACATTTGACACATGTTGGGGTTTTACTGGTTTATGTTCATATTTCTGTTTCATGATAACCTGAGGTTTCTTTGGAATGGCACCACTTGAATTGTGAGTTGATATTACCTCCGACTTTACAGAGATTGGCTCTGCAAATGTGAACACAGATGTGGTTGGCTCAGTTATCTTGGTACTAGGACAGGAGGCTGTCCCTGAGGTTTCAGATGTGGAGACTCTTGTCATGGTAACAGGCGTAGTTGACACTTTGGAAGCTGTAACATTCGAGTTCAAGTTCAATGAAGTAATGTCAGGTAATGAAAATTCAACATTCTGAGAAGAAATTGGCACTCCAAATTGTAAGTTGAATTCCTTTGCATTGGCATTGAGACTTGATACCACACCAGCTGGAACACTGGCACTGATACTGTCAGTGATATTTGTAGCACCAGTGACCTTTGACACTTCAGACACAAATGCATCAACATTTAATTTATCATCAATGTCAGTTTCAGTCTTAATTGGTAAAACAATGTCCTTATCATTTTCAGAAACCATACCATGAATAACGGATGCCATTTCTAATTCAGCTTCTACTTGCCTCATTTGACGATGTCTCTGCAGTGATGATTGAATTCTCTGCTTTTCTCTCAAGCATTCATCAAGCTTATCTTTCATTTTATCATGAAGAATTTCTTCTTCGTGTTGTTTTTTCAGTTCACGTAATTTCTGTGCTGCTTTAATTTTCTGTAACTCAGCTTGTTGTTTTTCTGACAAATTTGAGGAAGCGGTAGATGAAAAATCAGAAAAACATGAGCGGGAAGGAATTACAGAAGTCACTGACCTGACATCATCCTGAATATGTTCACTTGGATCAGGTACACTATGCAGATAGTCCTGCAAATGTTGAGGAATTCGACGCTGTCTCTTACTTCGTCGAGTGTCACTCATTTTCAACTATTATCCGCCTCGCGGGACCATTTGTTGCGTGGTTCATGGGTACGTTTAATAACAGTTGAAACAAGTCGGGTCTGGTACACAAAGTCAATTCACAAGGCTCAAAAATCTGGTTCACTCGGATCAGGATCAACACATGTGCTCCACATGGTGGCTGACACCTTGGATCTAACAAAAGTGGAATTTCAGAAGAATTGGATATAGACTGGGTTAATACTAAAACAATGAACAGTATTAATTAATTGAAGCCCAGGTAAAATATCTCCAAACACATAAACAGCTATCACTGTATAACAACTTGATTTAAACTGATGATTGAAATCATAATGTTTAGTTTGATATAGATTTATTATGATTACTAACCTTGATTACTTGATGTTCAATCCATTATGACTTGCTGTGCAGTGCAGGTGTGTGCAGCATATATAAGATTAGCAATGACAGGTGAGAAAGTGGTTTGAATTGAAAGGTACATGTATACTAATTGGCTAACAGGTAACCCTAATGACGAGCAAACAATAGAACAAAACACCCTTGGAAGTAAAATAGACTGGACCATTGACCTTTGACCCAGTAGAAACTTATCAGTAGCAAATACTGATAAGGACACAACTAATGATAAATAAGAAACCAGGAAATGACACAACCCTCTGTTGAATCAACAAGCTGAAATAGAAAAGACATGATACCTTATCTACACTAAAAATACTTACATATTTACAAGCTGCAGAATTAACACCTACTATACGGATATATTGCAAAACAGATGGTGTGCCAATGTCCACGAATGTCAAAAGTAGGTGAACACTTGAAAAAATAGATTTGAGCAAAACATTAAAACGTTATCAAAACTTTACTATAGGTTGAAAACAGTCACCGAAACTCTTCAAACTTAAGGTCCAAAACATAACTATGATACCCGTATCAAATACATCACCATCGAATATCCATTTCTTTGCTTTTTAGCCAACATCAAACATAGTGTATACTTGCGTCCGCCCGGCAGTCTATATGGTCTTTCTTTAGAAACCAACGATACAAATGTGAAATGGATTTGCAACGCATATGGAACGTTATAGTACATGAAGTTTAATGTCATCGCCAGGCTTTTGTCTAAAAGTCTTCAACAACGAACAAATGGCATGTGTAGTCTTTATACACGTATGTGCATGTTGCGATGTCGAAGGGCTGTACACAATATTAATGTTGTGTGTATTTGTCACCTGTTTACAAGTTGGGTCCATTTATTTTAACAATCACAGACTGATATATGCACTGTACAATCATGATATTTGAGGTGAGGTGATACGGGGTTTTAAAGTCGCGTCCAAGATTATTGCACTTACACAGCGTGTGTGTGTGTGTGTGTGTGTGTGTGTGTGTGATAGACTGATGCCAATATATAGTGCTAGCACACTGAGATACCATGCCGCAGTTTAACATGAATACCCCACTCAGACACAGTATACTGACTCCGAGCCGACCAGTCGTTGTTTTAGCCCCTTAGTGCCGAGCGCCAGACAGGGTAACAACAAGTACCATCTTTTAATGTCTTTTGGTATGATGATAATTGATCAACTTTATTTGTTTCCGTAGGTTCATTCGGTTTCTTCCATGATGGCGTGGTGTCACTTGTCATTTGTACAGTACAGACGTGTGTGCTTTTGTTGCTGTTGGTGTCAGTGAGAGAAACCGTACCTATGATAAATAACAACTTGTTAAAATTTATTTGTTCATTATGAATGCTTATGAAATTTATCTTTAACATATGTTTTGATTAGAAACAACTTTTAGCAATAGACTTCAACATTAAATACGGAGGAATTTTTCCGTAGGCATCCTCAAGACCCCACTTATTGACACATCCTAATCACTTGAAGTCTTTTTTCTTGTATATATTAACTTTTTCAATTTCTTATTCAAACAAAAAACAGTGGTTAAAATAACAATTATTATTTGACGCAATGCTACTTTCCAACATGCACCAATGCAACAATATGTAGGTATAAGCTGTGGACCACCTGCTGTTGGGTGAGACTGAGGTCGAAGAGGTGCTTAATTTGAGATTAATCACACAGCGTAGTCGCAGGTAATCTGCTTTCTGTTGGGTCATCTGCTATCTATAAGGTTATCGGCTAGGGGCTTATGCTACATGTATATGCATCGGTTATGTCCAAGACGATATGCCAGCTGGTAGTAACGGGCGAGAGAAACAGCAGACATGTGCCCATGATCAGTATCAGTGAACAAATGTGAAATGATGTGAACAAACGACATCCAACAAGAAACAAATAAAAACCTCACATATTTCACATGAAAATTCTGGAACAGAAAATCATTATTCGACACTAGTTTGTGTTTCGAATATCATGACTTTCGATGTGCAAAGAATTGTTTTAAGAACCAACGTTCGTGAGTTTATTAATAAAGATTATTGAGAAAAAAAGCTTACAACGGGATCACTGATTTACAAATAGCAACGTCATAGAACATTAAAGTGTATGACGTCACCAAAAAAATAAACGTGACGGCAATGGCCTCATATATATAGCAATAGTGAGTGAGTATGGTTTTACGCCGTTTTTTAGCAATATTCCATCAATATCACGGCGGGGGGACATCACAAATTGGCTTCACACATTGTACCCATGTGGAAAATCGAACCCGGGGTCTTCGGCGTGACGAGCGAACGCTTTAACCACTAGACTACCCCACCGCCCCCATATAGCAAGAGAATAGATAGCAGTCCGTCGTTAGGGAAAAGCAGACTGCCATCAAGTTACAGTGATCCGCTGATTTCTAATAACATGCGGGTATATTTATGATAATTCTATCCATTTCAGCTATAATACTTGTTTAAACGTTCACATTTAGTGCATTATACTTCCATTTTAACGTGTGCGTTTACATTAAAGCGCTGTATCGGAAACATACGTACAGGTCCTGTTATTCATACCGGTTGTTAGTGTGTGTTAGTGTATCATGCATCGTCCTCGGACTTCGGGTGTACGTCCTGGTATCGTCCCCATCATGTCGGAATCGTACAACGGATGTCCTATGATTATGAAAATAATATGTTTTGCTTTAATTTTGGGATATATGAAAAAAAATCAAGCCTGGTGCTAAAGTTTGGTATATATTGTAGCATTCCTGTATACGTTTAACTATGGTACACACTGTCGCAAGTGTAGGTGTTGCGGATTGCCTCCAGAGCCGTTTTACTCACAAATGGATATTTCATTCGCAATACATCAGGAGAAATAAATAAGGGTTGGCGAGTTATATACATTGCAATGGTGAGGGGTACCTGGGTATATAATTTTAATGCTTCCATTTAATCACCCTGGCACCACCACCACCCTTAGTCCCACCATCCACATAATTAGACGCAGTACCAAATACAGTAAACTACGGTTATAACGAACACGCTTATAACGAACTGACGGATATAACGAACTACTTTTTTGGTCCCGATAATTAGCTGTATTATGCTGTATATATGCTTATAACGAACTACGGTTATAACGAACTAAAATTAGTAGTCCCTTTGAGTTCGTTATAACCGTACTTTACTGTAGATGGATTGTTGGACTTGGATATGATTGTTGGATATGTGAAGAGAAATGCGTCCCATTGGTCGCACGTGATGCCATCGTCAAAGATTAAATGCGTGGTATTCTTTTAATAGTCTCTTTGCTCGCAATCTACAGGTTAAGAAGTATATGTCTTATTCTCTAAATAACGGGATGCCTATGGTCGACCTTGGCTTTGTAGATATATCGCCTGCACGTGTGTTTAATAAAGTTTAATAAACTCTTCGCTCACAATCTATAGGTTAAGAAGTATGTCTTATTCTCTAAATAACGGGATGCCTATGATCGACCTAGGCTTTACAGTGATATCATTTGCACATGTGTTTGAGAGAATTATGGTGAAACAGTTACTATTTTGTGATTACAACGGCAGACCTTATATCTTGTATGTCAGTGTTTTTTTTCTGTTTAGAAACTACAACTGCATTTTGTGTAATTTAACCGTGGACATGGGCATCACACCACTACTTGTGCGTCACTCTAAGTTTCGTCGGAATCCAAAATATAGCAGTCATACAGTGAAATAACTGTAATACTGCTCAAAGCAGTCTTAAAATCCTTTTCCATTCAGTGTAAAGATCGAGTAAAAGTCATTGTAGATATTGTGATGAAACCCGAGCTGGCCATTAATTCGGTGATACATGCGGTAGTTGTAAATAATAATTAATTAATAAATAATAAATGAATAAATAATAAATTATATACATGGAAATTAATTAGGCACCCTTTGTTTTTTACCAGTATGTCGAGCAACATGATATCACCCGCATCTAGTCTGAAACATGATTGAAAAATACCTGCCATCTGGAAGATGAGGCTCTTCACTAAGGAAAACACAGATAATAGCAATGTTCAAAATGTTAAATGCGTTATTATAAATAACAATGTTTAAACATTACTGAGTCAAAAATGGAAACCACAATAACTATGGATATGGAAAGTAGTATGATTGGATACAAATGACAACTGCTGTACGAAATCGCTCATATGTTGCAAAACAATCCAAATAAATAAACTCATTATCAAGTG